AGCAGGTACCGTTGCAGCTGGTTTAAAAGAGAAAGCAGGAGATGACCAGGAAGTGGGAGAAGTCAGAGGTCTCCCTGATGGAGTGAGCAGCACCTCCCAAGGCCCAGCGGTCTCAGGGAACAGGAGCTCTTGGAGCAAGCTGGACACAGGATGTGAAGGAGCCCCAGCCAGGAGCTGAGGCTGCCTGGCCACCACCCGCAGTCCCTGGTATGTCAGGGTAAAGAGCAGGGGCTTTGTTCCGGTAGTTTCTCTTCACGATGTGGTGTATTCTCTCCTTCTCAGAGCCCTGGACACAGGCCACACCATGCTGGCTGGGCCCTGTGCTTACCCCATGCACTGGCTCACTTGGACTATGTGTCCTGGGAGGAGGGAAGCCCAGGAGGGGCCCACGGCAAGAAGCCAGGCCACAAAATCACCCTGGGTTTGCAGTCTCCTTACCTTCTTTGTCCTCCCAGCCTTTAAGGTATCACAGGTGAGGGTGACTATACCCAGGGGCCACCCCTGCTTGCCAGGCCCCCACCAGGCTGGGATATGCGGGACCACAGCTCTGTGGAAGGCGGGTGCATTGAGAGCAGGGGAGTCAGTGCCACGGGCCTGTGCCGAGGTGCCCCCTACTACTGTTTTGCTGTCTCAGACCTTCCCGTCCTCTCTGGGAATGTCCACAGGTGGAATGAATGATGTCACGTACAAGTGATTGATGTTTTTTTATCACTTTGAAAATCAAGCTGCACACCTAAAGAGCGTCCCAATTCGAGGGTGCTCAGAGCCCCAGGGCATGTGCGACGGTGCCCGGGAGGGAGGGTGCCAGGCTCGGCATCGGCAGTTCTGCAGGACCTGATGGAGGAAGGGGGGAAGCCGACAGAAGGCAGGGCAGACCCCCAGCAGCCCCGAGGGACCTAGTGATGTCAGCGCTGGGTGGAGGGCATCCAGGCCTTCTCCCTAGTGGCACGGACACCCACCGGGGGCTGGCTGGTGGGGTCACTCCCGCGATGCTCATTCCGCCCTTCCTTCTAATTCAAGGAGGTGGGAAGACAGTCCTAAAATCAGTCCCATGGTCTTGGGATCCTTGTCACAGCACACACCCAAGACAGTGAGTCTAGAATAGCACATTGACTGCAGTGAATGGGGGCATCTTGGGAACTGGATGGCACTCTCTAGGCTCAGGTGTGTCCATGGCGGCAGACTGACCCTTCAGGGCCAGTGGCAGGTTGATGCAAACAAGGCTACCCACATGCAGCCTCCAGGGCTCTGTGAAGCTGTGGCCACAGGGTCCTTCCCTGGAGGCCTGTTGGGGGATGGTGAGGGCTCCGTGGGCATTCATGGACAGGTGCTGCCTCCTTGTGGGACCAGCTCCTGTGGAAGGGAAGAGTGTTCAGAGGAGTAGAAAGCCACCTCTCCAGGGAGCGCAGGTTGCCCACACCCTCTCCTTCACAGATGGTTGGCACAGGCTGTGCCTTGCCTCGCTGTGGTGGGCCCTTTTTGGTAAGGGCTTGAGCTATGGGAGCTGAGCTTGAACAGTGCCCGTGAGTTCCCATGGAATGTCCTGTCGAGGGGCGGGACTGGCTCTATCCACTACCATCTGCAGGTTGACTGTCAGAGACAATGACAGCAGCCCTTGCACCCGGCCTGGCACCAGCCAGAGCTTCCTCAGGTGGCCTTTTCTGCCTTTTCTGCCCTGCTTCTGCCTTTGCCCTTCCTGAGAAAGCAGCCAAACTCGGAGAGAAACAAGGTCACTGCCAACAACACAGCAAACGGTCATCCCTCCTGTGCACGTGGGGTGGCTCCTGGGTTCCCACGGGAACCAAGATCTGCCAAAGCTGCAGCCCCTGCGTAAATGTGTCCCACTTGCATGTGACCTCTGCTCACCCTCCCTGAAGCTTCAAGTGCCCTCTCAGTCACTTACAGTAGCCAATACCACACAGAAGCTGTGTAAATGGTGTGACTCCGTCTCCTTTAGGGAATAATGACCACAGTGTTTTCAGTGTTTCCAATCCACTAACAGAGGGTGACTCTGTGTCCTGCTTCTTTCTCCCATGGTTTCAAACTTTTAAATTGAGATAATTTGCATACCATAAAATTCATCCTTTGACAATCGATGATTCAGCGGATTTTAGAATACTCACAGAGTTGCGCGGCCGTCAGCCTGACCTAATTCTAACACATTTCCATCACCCCCAGATGAAGCCCCTGCTGGTTAGCACTCCGCCCCACTGCCTGCTCTCTCTCCCTCTGGCCCTTGGCAGTCCCTGGCTGCTTTCTGTCTCCTCCTGGGAAGAGCCAGTCTAGGCCTGCGGGTCCCCTGCCGTGCAGGCTCGTGGAACCAATGCAGCTAGATGAATAGCAATGGCCACTAGTTCAGAAGGGGACCAGTGCCTGGGAGGTCGGGCTGGACCAGCACTGGCCCAGTGCCCCTGTGAGCCTTCCCAGCTCACTCTACACTTCAAGGGTCCCTGCTGCTCTGCCCTTGTGGGATCCAGGACCTCGCATAGGGTCTCTGCCATCAGGGACGCTGCAGGGAGGAATTCTGCAGGAGGAGCGGGAAGGAGCCACAGCTGGTGCCCAGGCCCGGAACTGGTGGAGGCTTCGCCAGGACTTGAAGTCCCTCCAGGTCCCAGTGTGCCCTGCTTCCCCGCCGTCTCCTTTTCCTCTCCTAGGATAAACCGTCCCCAGAACTTGGTTCTTCCTCCTGCCATCGCTGTCCTCTTTCAGTGGCACAGAGAGGGCTTACTGTGACGCTGGGCGAGGAGAACTGTGGATCGGGGAGGCAGCAGCCTCGATGGGCACAGTGGCCTGGGCAAGCACTGCCAAAGCCACCAGGTTCCCATGAGCAGTGCCTGTTGCAGGGACCTGTTACTCTCAGAGCCGGAAGAGGGGGAAGTCCCCTGCCTGAGGGCAGCCTGAGCCCCCAGGACCTCCATCCTGGCTTCCAGGCCGGGGTGTGCCCAGCTGCCCTTCTTGCGTCCCCACCTGTGATGGTCGATACAGCAGCTGCAGAGGGGTTGTAGGGGAGGTGCCAGCGCTGCCTCGGTTCACCTGCTGGGCGCAGGGCTCTCAGGAGGCATCCACTGATCCACACCCAGGCACCTGCGAGGTGGCCCTGCTGGAGAGAGGCAGGCCCCGGGGCGCTCAGGCCCACCTGGGTACCTGTGGTGAGGGAGTCGGCCAGCGCTGCTCCAGTGCCTGGCCACCTGAGGCCCTCAAGGCTGCCGTCAGGTTGCTGTCCACAGAGGGCTCAGGACTGGCATGTGCTAAAATGCCCTGTGTGCAGGCAGGTGCCTCCCTGTCTCAGTCCCCTGCCCTGGCCTCTATTCATGGGACCCTGCTGGGTAGGGAGGCCCTTGGCAGAGTCAGAGCTGCTCAGTCCAGTGGCCCAGTGCCCAGCACAATGACCAAAGGGCACCCTTCAGCAGCATCTTCTCCCCGCAGGAGAGCACCTGGCCGTACCTGTTTGGTGTGATCATGGTCCCCGCTTTCATCCAGCTGGTGAGCCTGCCCTTCCTCCCCGAGAGCCCTCGCTACCTGCTCTTGGAGAAGCACGACGAGGCCAGAGCCATGAAAGGTAGGGCCACTTCCCCTCGTCACACAGCTCTGCTTGCACACGGAGCAGGCCCCAGCTGGGCACGGGGACGGCACCACGTGAATCTTCTCTGCAGGCACCGTGCTGGGCAAAGAGGATCTCTTCCTGCTGTGGAGGGCAGAGGGGCACAGGGAGTCACCTAGGGAGTCTGGAAAAGCCAGCTCAGACAGGATAAGACCAGGTCCCCTGCTTTACAGCCACCTCCTGATGGCATCCACCCCCAGAGGTGGAGCAAGTGGCCTTTCCCAGTGGCTTGGGTGTGTGGCAGTGCCCCTTGTCTTTGCACTGTAGGGAAGGAGAAGAGCGAGCTCAGAGTAAGTGCACGGGCCTGAGTGCTCCTGTCCAGTGACCCTGGGGTGTCCCCGGTGGCCCTGTGAGAGAGGAAGATTTTGATAGGAGAGGATAATGAGGCTTGAGATGAGGATGGGGAGTGGGCTCAGGTCACTTCCTGAGACCCCTAAGAGGCAGAGTGCTGGACCAGGTTCAGAGCATGACTTTCAGAATCAGAGACATGCTGCAGAGACCCAGGGAAAATCTTTTTGCCCGGAGATGGCCAATGCAGAATGGATGACCAAATTCTTACTCTTTTGGTTTATAAAACAAGACCTGCTGACAGTGCTATAATGAAACACGAGGACTTGGAGCAATCAGGCAGCCTGTGTGCCCCAGCTCCGCCTCTGACCTTGAGCCATTCACCCACCTGTCTGAGCCTGCAAACCCTGGTCTCTGACAGGAAATGCCATCAGCCTCCTCCAGGGGCTGTGGTGAGGACTGAGTTCCGTGGTACACAGGAGGTTCAGGGTGTTAACTGCTGTCTCACTCCTGAGGACCTTGCCTGGTTTTTACCCGTAGTCTCTCCTCCAATCTAAATCTCACTACTGCCCATGCCCAGGGGAAATTCTGAGTATCATACACATAATTGTGCAACATCTTTTAAAACTTAAATTGCCAGAGAGACCCTAAGCCACTTAGTGAGACTCTGCCTCAAGATAAAAAATAAAAAGGGACAGGGATGAGCTCAGAGGTAAAGCACCCCTGGGTTCGATCCCTGGTACCCACCCCCAAATTTAAACTACCTACGTGCTTTTAAATTGACCAATTGTAAAATGAAACATTAACAATTGTTTGTATTTGTATAAACAATATTTATGTTTATCCAGCAGCTTACGGTCCGATCTTCAGATGTACTTTCTTATCTTATGGCCCTTGGAAAAGCCTCCTCTAGCACAGAGGGACGGGCAGTGCCTGGAGGTGCCAGAGTGAGGAAGGCTTTAGAGGGTTCTTTCACAACTCGGTAGAGGGGGAGTGCGGCTATGAAACAGGAGGGACACGATGACTGTGCTTTATATAAGGAGCAAAAAATATCAGCGTCAGGCTGAAACAGAATCTTGAAAGGTACATTTCCACTAATGACAATACCAATTCTGCTTTAGCAAACAGTAGGAATTCACCATGCGGGGCATTCTGTCAAGCAAGTGCAAAGACAGAGACACTAGATGGCACCCCTGCCGTCCAGGTGGGAGGGTGATGTGCCACGGTGGACAGACTCACTCATCCATGGCTCTCAGGTGCTGAGAGCTCAGCACTTTCCCTGTATTAGCTCATTAAATCCTCATTTTTATTCCCGTTCCACCTTGTGTCATGTAGTGAATAACACACTGCACCCCATAAAGATGTACAATTACTGCGCGTCAATTAAAAGTGAAAACAAATTACAGGAAGGAGATGCAGGAAAGGGGCGGCTGTTGATGGGGGTGGGAGTTTCTGGGGTTTCTGAGGACTGAGGAATGGGGAGGCCCGGGAACAGAGCAGGAGGTGGCACCCCGCGGAGCCCCAGCCCTCCTGCTGCCTCCAGCCCTCTCCAGCCTAGTGCTGCTTTGTAGGAAGGGAGACGTCATTTGACTGCAGCCTCCTCACTGAAGGGCCCAGGGGTGGCTCCGTAGCCTTACAGAACCGCCAAGCACGGGGAGACGGTGGTACGCACTGGCCTTTGGGGTTCTGCCTCACCTTGCATTTGAAGAGAGGGATTCTATGGCTAAAAGGAGTGTGGAGCCTTTGCTCTGGGGCTAGAGAATCTTTTTTAAATGTTGGGTGGAGAAATCACCCCCTCCCCGCTCAGCTTGACAAATCAACTCTTGTCCCTTAAACCTGGGTGGTATGTGGATTCATCCCCTAGGATGCTTTTATTCCTCCTGTCCCCTCCCATCTCTGTGTCCTAAGCATGTTTCCTTGTCTCTATCCTTATATTGTTGCATATGACCAGTGGGACAATGGCCCCAAATATGTTCATATCCTGATCTCCTCAGCTTGTGACTATGTCACCTCGGATGACAGAGGGACTTTGCAGGGGGTGATCAGGATTCTGAGAGAGGAGGTCACCGGGATTATCTGGATGAGCCCACTGAAATCACCTTCTTGCACATGGGAGCGGGAGCAGAGAGTTAGGGAAAGTGACAGACGTGATGTTGGTTGGAAGCAGAAACCCAAGAAAGAAAGGAAGGGAAGGAGAGAGAGGAGAGAAGATGCTGAGCTTTTTGCTTTGAAGATGGAGGGGCCATGAGCCAAGGAAAGCGGGCAGCCTCTTGGAGCTGGGAAGTCAAGGACATGGTCCTCCTTCAAGCCTCCAGAGGAATTCAGCTCTACTGTCCTCCTGATGTCAGCCCAGTGAGTCCCACTTCAGTGTGTGTCCTGAAAGTGACCCCACACTCACCAGGACAAATACGTCAGTCAAAGACGGTGGATCCACTGGCGACTGGGTTTCAGGCTCAGAAACATTCTGCCAGAATGTTGTGGTTCATGCATTTGAAAAGGCCCCAAGTGCATCTACCGCATCAAAGAGCAGTAAATGTCTTCCTAAATCTAAAAGGTCTCCCCCAATGCCAGCTTCATCCACGTACTTACAAACAGTCATAGGATAATCAAAACATGACCAAGTGGGCTAAGCACACAGCGTCCAGTGGGAGAAAATAAACATAAATAAATCGCCATCACCAAAAGGCAGACACAGGTGCGGGACGGCAGGAGGCTGGGCGAGAGATAACCTCAGAGGCAAACTCTGCCCTGTCCCCTCCCCAGTCACTTGCCTGCCAAATTGCCCACTCAGCCAAGATAAGTCTCCAGGACAGAGGCCATGGTGACCCACTTCTCCCAGGCCCCGCTGCCAGGCTGTTACCTGGAGCCCCCAGGTGTACCCGCACCCACCTGGGGGTGATCAGAGATGGCGCTACTTCCTAAACTTGGGGAGGGAGCTGGGCAGAGGGAGGCATGGTCAGTTTGCCTCCAAGCCCTCAGGCTCTGTCTGCCGGCAAAGTCACCTACTCCCCCAAGGAGACCAGGGTCCTCTCTGGGGTCACTCTGCTTTTGTCCTTAAGGTGTGAGCCCAGATGGGTTAGCTGGAGAGGCCTCTCGTTTGCCCTTAGACTGGCCACGTGCATCCAAGCTGGCTGCCTTTTCCCTGGCTGGAGAGCAGCTGGGTGCAGGGGACTGAGCAAGGTTCTCTGCCCGGGAGAGGAGCTCCTTCCTGCAGCACCTGCAAGGGCCAAACGTCCCATTTCTCCCACAAAGGCAGGCCCGCAAGGGCTCCAGTGTGTCTGCATCCCAAACAGCAGGAGCCCGAGCATCCACCGTGACGCTCTTCAGACCTAGAGAAGGGCTGTGGGTGCCGCTGGGGCGGGGATGCAGCCTGTCTCACCTGGGGCTGGTGCACCTGGTGTAGCTGCTGAGCCGCTGGGTCTCCGCGCCCTTGAGAGCCGGGAGGAACCGCCTATTTGATCTAGGGCACAGACAGGTTCAGCGCCCTCTCCTGGGTTTCTCTGAGGTCCTGCCCCTTCCTGAGCCCCAAGCTGCCTCTGCCTCCTGGGCACCAGCTCTGTGGCATCCTCCTCTCACAATAACCCAATCTGAGACCAGCGCCTCCAACAGCAACTGCACCCCCAGCCCCTGAGCTGTTTAGGGAAGAGTTGGGGCTGGGGGTCACTGGCACCTCCTTCCTTCCCCTCTCTCTGCCTCTCAGAGGCCCCTGGAGCCCCGGTTGCTTCTCCCTCTAGCGTGGTGAGCAGCTGCTCGGCTTCCAAACCCGGAGCCAGCTGACGTGTAGACTGGCAGCCGTGTGACACCCTGGGTGCCAGGCACTTATGAGAACCTTCTCAGCCCAGGCGGCACCTTCCCGGGAGACATCCTGCTGAGCCCATGAGCACTGCTTCTCTCGCCTGCTGTGTACCTGCTAACGTCACAGCTGGCAGTGCTCCCGGGCTCCATGGAAGGCCAGCTGGGTGCCAGCGTGGAGGGTCGCCTGGGAGTCCCGGGAGCTGGTCCAGCCTCCCTGCCCTGCCCCTAGCCGTGCTGACCCTCGCCCCGGCAGGCTGCCCAGGTCGGAGGTCGGCTGTCTCACCTGTGGAATGGAAGCAACACAAGTGCTTCTCTCCAGGGACCAGAGGACGGTGGAATCCCACTGTGGACGTGGGGATGCTGGGCCACATGGCAAAGTGCGCTAAGCACACAGCGTCCAGTGGATGGTGTGCATGACGCCACAGCTGCCCCGGTTGCAGGGACTGTAATCGCGTGGCCGACGTCAGACCCTGACAAGCCTCATCATGTATCAAGCAGGTTCTTGTCCAAAGAGTGAAAGAATTGACTTCTGAAGCTGCTTCAGGCACCTGGACCCAGCCGAGACCTCAAAGTAGCCCAGAGAGGTTTGGGCCTGGAGGCAAGACCCTTCCACCATCCTGAAACTGGAGGCCTGCCTCAGGAGTCACAGAGGGCGATTGAGAGGACAGAGGACAGGGTGATTGCTGCCCTGTGTCAAGTGCTCGTCCTTCCCGTGGGCCACCTGTTCCCTTTGCTGAGGCTCATGACAGCTCCACAGGAGCATGGCATGCTAAGTGTCTGGTTCACCACATGTGTCAGTCTGGTCCCCCCAAGAAATAGACTGTCTGAAATAGACCCATCTTCTGTTGCTGTAACTGAACGCCTGAGACGGGGAAATTTATAAAGAAATTTCCTTCATGTCATTCTGGAAGCTGGGAAGTCCAGAAACATGGTGCCCGTGTCTGAGAGGCCTCCTTACTGCACCACAATGTGGCAGAGACGTCACGTGGCGAGACAGAGCCGGGCCTAGCTCAGGGCTCTCTTCTCCTCGTAAAGCCACTAAATAGCATGACCTCGTGACCTCATCTAACCCTGCTCAGCTCCCAAGGCCCCACCCCCACATGCCCTCAGCAGCTCCGTTGGAGCCCGGCCCTCCTAATACTGTCCCAGTGGCCACTCAGTCTCCTCATATTCAAGCCATAGGGCAGAACACGTGATTAAAGGAGAGGGGACGTCACTGGAGTCAGTTTCCTTGTGAGAAAACGGGAAGAGTCCAACCCCAAAGGGAAAGGAGGGACGACGGTTGGGGAGGAGCACCCCACCCCCGGCTGCCTACAGTATGAGGAGGGTCCAGCGAGGCCCCAGGAAGTCCTGGAGCCACCATGTCCCCCCAGAACGAGGCTGCCTGGTTTCCCTGCTCTGCCCACCCCCTGCAAGAGAAGCCCTGGGGCGTGCGGCCTGGGACCCGGGGGTCCGTCTGTGTCAGCTCCACTCCTGGAGCTGGAGGCTGAGGCACATCCTCGGGCCACCACACTGAGGCCACCACCTTCCTCTAGAAACTGGGTTCAGCTGGGGGCTCGGTGGGGAGAAGAGCTCTCTGCCGCCCGGGGCTGGGTCCAGGACAGCCCCTGGGTGGGTCAGGGCTCCCCAGGGACACAGGGCCGGTAGGACGCCCTCAGAGGAAGATGCATTTTCAGGAAGTGGCTTGTCGACTGTGAGGCGGACCAGCTGAGCTTCGGGGGCAGCTGGCAGGCTGGAGACCCAGGGCAGCGCTGTCCTAAGGCTGAGGCGGGATCTCCGCTCCCTCAGGGAGCTGGGCCTTCTTTCCTGAGGTCTTCAATGGTGGAATGAAACCACCTGCCTCGGGGAGGCTGCTCTGACTTGACCTTGAATGCTCCCACAAGCCTGAGCCGAGGTCGCTTGCCTCATTTGGCTCTGGCATGTCCATTGGTCTCCTGACAGGGCTACTGACCCCTCAGAGAGGACAGTCCAGGTGCTGCCTGTGCTGAGCCAGGCTCAGGGCTCGGGCTCTGCTATGTCCCCGGGTGGCAGTGACGGTGCCCTAGACACACAACCGCGTAGCCACCCGTGAGCACCAGGGAGCAGGGGATGAGGGCTTTCCCGCCCGTGGTTGGGGGGCCGTGGCAGCCACAGGGGGTACGCTGCTGCCCTCCCTCAGCGGCTGGCTCAGCTTCCTGCGGCTGCTGCATAGAATTCCTCAAAATTAGGGGCTTAAAGCCGCACTCAGTTAGCATTGAAGTTCCAGGGGTCAGAATTCAAAGTGGACCGTGCAGAGTTTGCCTTGAGGGTCACCAGGCTGCTCCTTCTGGAAGCTCCAGGGGC